AATCTGGAATATCTTTCAAAGATTCAACATCATGGACCTTGCAATCTTTGACAATACTAGCAACCCAGAAGTGCTCGCTGTAATTGCCCGAGAGCTTTGTTTTCCAATGGAATTATAAAATGGCTTCCGAGAATTGTGTAAAGCCAGTCAGTTTGGAGCTTGATGTTTTTACAAAGCTCTTGCCATTTTGGTGTGCAATATGCTTCAGATGGGCAGTGAGCAGCTCATAGGTATGCAGTCTGTCTATATGTTGGAAAACATAGCTTTTGCTGTTCCAAACCCCAACCTAGACCACATTTTAAGGCATCACAAATGTGAAAGCAGTTCCACATCTGTGATGTCTTATTGCTTTCTCAGATAACTCATTTCGATCAAATTCTACGACAACATTGAATATATTCTTCTCAGAGAAAAATGCATTATGCAAAATTTCTTTTCAGTTGAGATGCTACCTTTGAAGGCAGTAGAAACTGCTTACTGGGTCTTGGAACAGAGCTAATATCTTGAACAAAGACAAAGTACTTCAAAGAACATTTTAAATCAATATATCTTTACATTTACAAACACTGTTTATCTAAAACATTTTTGTTTAATGCTACAGTTTGTTCACTGTAATAGAATATTGTTTAAAAATATGACCACTCTGGCACATCTAGCCATATTGACAGCACTCTTATACAGGGACCACTGCAATACTATGACAATATTTGTCTCTACAAAATGGAAACAATAACAGCCACAGCAAGGGAAAAAAGAACATTCTAGCTCTCCTTGAAATTAAACGAGTAAATCAAGTGAGACAAAACGCACTTTTGAGTAATTAAAATATTTTTTTTCTATAAACCACTTGAAAAAAATCCATAATTATGACTTATAAAATGTAGTAAATCCCATGGGTGTTTCCTCCACACGCAGACCTCTATGGAGTTTTCTCGTGTGGTAAGAGAAGAAAAGTCATCAGGGGTTAAGATGTGCAAAGTGTGCGTATAATTTGTGGCCTGTCGACTGACTAATCAGTTTTTTAGTGATCCATTACTCTGAATTATGTATGCTAAGTAGCCTGTTCAGGACCATTTATAATGAACATTACTCTAAAGATCTTTTAAAGGCATTCGCAAACATAAACACACACACACACTTCAATAGATCACACACACACATAATTCCACTTTAATCCTGACATGCTTTCACAAACATGCACACATGTCAGCATCACTGAGATTTTACGTGGTAAGACAGCATAAATCACTCAGTCCAAATGTGCACTAGCATCACAAATAACCATCAAAATGTGTCTCAGGTCAGTGGAGGGACACAACAACATGCTTCAACAGACTGCTAGCAGCCACGTAACGCCACAAACAAACAGTAAGGCTCATTTTCCCTTGCAGTGCCTCTTTTGATGAATCTGTGCTGCACAGTTGTTAAGCCCTATGAAATAAGCCCCAGAGCTGTGCCGTCCTCTTTAAAATGACCTTTCAGAATTTATCAAGCACATTATGGAGGACATCCAGATGCTTCCACCACATGTTGAGCTGCTCGCAGACATGTCACAGAGGATGTAGCACACTTATCAGAGACTACAGGTGAACGGTCCTACAAGTCACAAACACATCAGAGACCACATGAGCAACATATGCGCTCATACACTCATACAGAGACCAGGGGTGGAAACTCCACTATCACATACACACTTCAGAGACCATGAGCGACGAACTGGACATCTCACATATACACACTTCAGAGACCAAAGTGAAAAGTTCTCTCTCTCTCTCACACACACACACACACACACACACATACACATTCAAATACATAGCCTATACATCAGAGACCATGACTGGACATCTGCACGTTCTCACACACAGACTTACAGCCTACTCAAGAAAAGAGAAGTGAAGACCTGATAAACTTAGATCCTGATATACCGGCTAAAACATATATCCTTTTTTAGATGCTTCATTAGAGCCTTCAACTTACAATATACAGGTGCATCTCAATAAATTAGAATGTCGTGGAAAAGTTCATTTATTTCAGTAATTCAACTCAAATTGTGAAAGTCGTGTATTAAATAAATTCAATGCACACAGACTCAACAAAAGTGAGTACATAGCAAATATTAAGAATTAAAAGAACAACAATAGTTAAAACGGAACATTTAACAATAACAAACACTGTAGCTCAAAACAGAAACAGACAAGAACAGTAGGCTAAAGGCCAAAGTATCGTTCTTTATGTGTACGCGAGGGTCCACGTGCAGTAGGCCTACGTGATGCAAATTTCATCATCAGAATAGTATGCGCATACTGTATGGCAACACTGTCCCAGGCATACTGTATGCGCACCATCTGATTTTTGTAATCGCGCTTACTTTGTACGCGCAGTTCGCTCATGCACATTGACTTGGTTTTGCACTAGTCAGTTTTTCCACAAGGTGGCAACACTGTCCCAGGCCATTGTTTCACAGTAGAAAATAAAACTAAAGAGATGCAACAACAACAACAAAATAGCAGAGACTGCAACAACAACAGACACACGCACTGATAAATACTTCTGTAAGAGGGTTATGAGATAGCAGCAACTTAAGCTTAAAAGAGAACAAAGACATTTCATCGGTCATAACTCCTCGAGAAAAATAAAGCAGAAGCTGGACAAAGGTGAAGCTTTCTAGAGCGCATGTGTCGACCACCTGTGTTTGCGTACACCTCAAATGGACTATAGGCCTACTTTGAAAGACTGTGTGTACACATAAAAAGCAAAGTATACTTGGGCCTTAACTAAAGCAACACATTTATATATATATAATTTATGATGTGATGTCGCTATAAGACAAATCACATTTACCTGAGTTATGAATGTGGGTTTGCAATCTGTATTGAATGCGGTGTAACCGTGCACCGCAAAATAATGGCAAGAAATGGTTTCGCGGGATACACTCGAAAACAAACTCACCACGGACAGTGTATTCAGATTCACAAACAAATGACTCTTGTGAGCCTGCTCTTTTCAGTGAATCAACTGCCACCAATCTGATTCTCGAACATACTCTTTTTAGTTATTTAAAAGTGTAGTCTGATTCGCAAGCCAATGACTCTTATGAGTCGGATCTTTGTGAATCAAAATTAGACAGTGCTATTGTCTGATTATCATCTTCTATAATCATCATGTTTGCTAATGACCAAAGGTAAGGTGTCAATTTAATACACTTTTATTAACCCACTCATAGTGAACAATATGGTTTTACACTAAATCCAACAGAAACTCCAGCACAGTCTGCATATTTCACTAATTTTATCAATGTATCACTAGGCTATATCAATGTTGAAAACAGCTGTGCTGCTTAAATGTTTGTGGAAACTGTGATACATTTTTACAGGATTCTTTGATGAAAGTTCAAAGCACATCATTAATTTGAAACAGAAATCTTTTGTAACATTAAAAATTTATTTACCGTCCCTTTTAACCAATTTAATGTGGCCTTGCTGCATAAAGTATTCATTTCTAATATGTAAACACGCATGTAGAATGAACGGTGGACGGGGCCTCACTAATAAAACAGAATTCTGTAGTAAACCCTGCATTCATGTGAAAAGCTTTACACTTTGTTCTAATGAATGATGCTAGTGGACATGGACCTTTCATAGTGAAAAGACCTTGCAATACACTGATTGGTTACAGCAGCACAGGAAAAGTTAGCAAAAGTAGGTGGAACCAGCAGCATCACAAGTAATTTAATGTACCCTAAAATCTGATGGCTGCAGATCATACGGTGCAGAACATACAAACCTGCAAATCATGTACTCTGTTTCCAGCTATAGATACAGCACTCAACATGTTCATACACCAATCAAACAACCTCTCAAACAACCCGCTCCACTAGTGCATATAAACTAAAGTATGAGTTTCTTACATCTGCACACACTCACACATACACTCACATTCGCATTAAGGATGCATAGGGCCAGTGGATATGCAAAACCACACAAAAAAAGCACAATAATGAATACTGCAGTAAGCAGCAAAAACAGCTGACAGAGTTTAAGTGTGTGAGAGAGAAAGGATGAGATCAGGATCGAAAGAAAGAAAGAAAGAAAGAAAGAAAGAAAGAAAGAAAGAAAAGAAAATAATTCATGACTCTGCTGAAACAATGACACCATCTCACTGAATCTGACATTTCAACACAAATGTCCAGTTCACACTTCTTCTAAAGGAAAACTCTATCACAATCACCATTCATGATTAATCATCCATATTTTCACTCAAACATTTGGACATTTGATGAAGATCTGTTCAGAGAGTACTCTGGAGAGTAACAATACACCTACACAAGCCAGTAGACTGATTCACTCCAACTCATTGTGATTGTGTAATGTACACTTGTGCAGAAATTATACTTCTACTTCAAATTAAAAGCAGTTATGATCTCCACTCATCAGTCTGCTGAAACGGTGACAATGAATCAGACACAAGCTGCATTCCTTGGTGAACAAATTTAGACTTTATAATGAAAAGGATTTGATAAAGATGCTGTTCGTTCCTAAACTCTATAGAGAACCAATAGCTACACCTACACAATTCAGTCCATCTCTGTTAGGATAATGTAATGTAATGTGTGCACATGTGCTTGAGGATAGATAGATACTCTTTGTGGTGTATTTGTAATAAAATAAAAGCAGTTATGATTTCCTGAAACTATGATACCATTTCCTGATCTCCAATCCTTCCAAGTATGTTAAAACACTTTATAAGGAAAAATGAGTTCATAATGAAATGAAGACTCAGACCAACAATTTAGATAGATAGATAGATAGATAGTGTTATAGTTCCCAAAATAACAGAACACAGCAGAAAATTCAGTTAGAGCTGAAATGAGGGGGGAGGTTCCTCTGTGCCCCACGAGCTTATTAACGGCTCTGTGACTCCCTTGTAAAAACAGAAAACAGTGAAAACATTAGGGAGGAGCTGAGTGACTGAAGAGAGGGAGGGTGGGCCTTTCTTACCGAAAACGAAGTTGCTCCTAACGGAGGTTGCGAGAAGCATCGTCAAGGCCGCGAGCGCCCTGAGAGCGGCCCGCTGCAACGCGGGGAATGTCATACTCTGACGCGCGCGCATCCCGCTCATCCGTCCAGTGCGTTAAACCCAGTAATCCTCTCGAGACCCGGAGAAGTGGAGAAGCTCTACGTAGCGCTGACTGGAAGAAAGGACACACACATACACACTCATTAACAGACGGAGAGCGCCGATTGGTCGCATTGATGCTGAGCACACACACTTCACTCCCGCGCTGCCCCAGTGCTTCCATTGATCGCCTCGTGTCACTCGCTGTGTGTGATGTGACGCAGTGATCGAAAACATTCCCTTCGTCATTCAGTAACCCAGAAAAGGACTCTGAATCGACAAACGCTACGTAAAAGCGAGCGCGTGCCTGAATTGAGATTTGTATAGTGCTGCCCCCGAAATCCTCCTGGTAGCCTTTAACACCGCTCTCATTATTCTCCCGCTCTGACTGCTGCGCGCGCGAGAGGAAGGTGCACCTGTCGCCCGTTGAGAATTCGCGCGCACTCACACAATAGTCCAGGTCGTTTGGCTGCCTGTTCCTCTCTCTTAGTGCGCTTGTGTGAACTGTGCAAGTCATGGCGTTGCCTGCGGAGCGGCGGGCCATCGCGCAGAGATGCTTTGTATTGTTGTGCAACTATAGGGGGAGGCAAGGACGGACAGTGGCTGTCAAACTGTCAGTGTGTGTGTGTGTGTGGATGTGGATGTGGATGTTCAGCGCGAGCAGCGAAGCCTCGCCTCATCTCGACTGTTGGGATGAGGTGATGATACCTGCTGCAAGTCTGTGACACGCGACCCGAAACGGAACCACCCGCGCCGCCTCCCTCACTCATCGGTTCTTTTCTCGCACTTCTCCTCTTTATTTCCCTCCCTCCCCCTTCTCTGAGCACCAGTCCCGTCCTCACCCGCGCAACCGGGACGCCCCACCGAGCCACGGAAAACAGTAGCAGGTGCACACAGTCCAGTCGCGCTGAATGCAGAAGGAGCGGCAGGGATGCTGGTAGAGCTCGCGATTGGGAGGGGAGGGGAAACGTGAGGGGGCAAGCAACCATCAGCGCATTAACAGTAAGCCTAAATACACTTTAACATCAACCCTCTTCCCTTCGCTCATAGTTTAACACCTCCGAGCTCGTTGGATGGTTTCCTGCCCGGTGCGCCCGTCAGGAGAGGCGCTCGCGGAAGCAGGCGCATTCCAGAGCACGAGCGTGCCCCTATTTACAAACCTGACAGGTGTCTCCCCCCTCAGCATAAGCGCCAGGACGCCAACGACAATAATACCCCTGCGTGTCTGTGTGCTCAAAAGGAGGGCAGATTACAATACGCACCGTTATAAGCGCTCCTCGTGATGCCCGTCGACTCCGTCGGTTCTGGAGTGTTGGACCCGTCTATGCCTGCTGGCGCTCACGCTAAGGTCCCAATGGATCTGTCTGTCTTGGTTCTCGTTCCGCCCTCCGCTATCTTCTTGTTTTTCTTGCCTTTTCTTCTCTCCACGGCTACCGTTCACTGCAGCAAAACAGTCTGTCTGAAAGCACGGAGAAAGGGAGGGAGGCAGTGAGGGAGGGAGGGAGGGAGGCGCGCGGTGTGGAGGGGGGAGGGGGGGGGGG